GACGGTTAGGGGATAAGTGTTAAGCATGCATGCCTAGTCATCGATCGCCTTCCTCGACAACGGGCAATGTTAACTGGCTGACATAGGATAGATGAGCTTGGAAAAGAGCTAGAATATGGCCAGAATATGGCTTCATCAGTCAATGCAATCCACAAGAGTTAGTTTGAACCAGTTACTTAAGGAGACGTGTAAACTTCCTGACTGGCTGGTTGGGTCCTCGGGATGGTAAGAACAAATGAATTCTGGCGACAATTGATGATATGGCTGAAAATCTTCGTTGTCAATGTCTGGCGCAGATGCATTCACTCTTTATGATTTATCAGCTATATTCCATAAAACACTGTTGTTCTCCAGTATTACTATTATTTTTGTCTCACTCACACTTCTGTTTGTTATCTGTCTTTAGATGAATCTCTGTTCACTATCTTCTCTTGTTTTGTGTGCTGCATGGAATGTCCCAATTTGAAACCAGTTAGTCAGTTGGTCAGGTTTCAGTCCTTTGGATGCCAAGAACCAATGACTGGAAACTATTGGTGATATATATATATATATATATATATATATATATATATATATATATATATATATATGGCGAAATCATTGTCAATGTCACAGATGGATTAACACTGTTTGTGCCCTTCTAGATCCATTTTTGTCTTTATGTTACTATTCTCTCTCTCATGCACATTTCTGTGCATAACAATTCTCTTGAATTTCTAGTTTCTACCTTTGTGTGTGTGAGATATGGAGTGTGCCAACCTGAGAATTGTAACACACTTCTTTGAAGAGTTCTATATTGACACTCAGTCAGATGTAGCATGAGAGACAATATAAAATTATTTAATTAAATAATTAAATTTTGTTAAAACTGTTGAATAAAGACGTTTAGTTGAGTGATTCCGTGAGTGAAAGAAATAGAGACAGAGAGAGTGGGTGAGTGAGTGAGTGAGTGAGTGAGTGAGTGAGTGAGTGAGTGAGTGAGTGAGTGAGTGAGTGAGTGAGTGAGTGAGTGAGTGGTTTGTAAATGACTTACATCTTCATCCTTATTTTTGAAAAGGAGAGAGAGAGGAAAGGGTATGACATAAAACACAAGCTGAAATTTAATCGTATTCTTAGGTGATAAGAAGAGATTATGATATACACAGACCTCAAAATTGTGACATAATCAATCGAAACTGATATATCTGCTTGTATGAACTCAGTTACCCGAGACAGATTTTTACAAAGAACGAACCTACATTTACGGAATGTGTGTGTGTCCGTGAGGCCTAATGACACTATTCAGTTGCCTAAATGGAAACAAGGGTGGAGCAAGATCTGAAAGCCAAGTGACTGAGCTGACGAACCATTTCTACACACACACACACACACACACACACAGAGAGAGAGAGAGTTAGGGCTAATAAAAATAAGGAGGCACCGGACAATTATTTGGGATTTTGCAGTGGTGAACACCACCGACCTCATAAAAGATCAAGTCAAAGTCGGATGTGAGGATAGATATTCATAAATTTAGAAATTGAGTTATACAAAAAGAAAAGGTGTTCAGCGAAGAATTACTCTCCTCTTTGGCGATATCATCATTTTCACGCTGTATAATCGCATTTATAAATTTAGTAAATTATCTTAGCCACAAAAGGAATATTTCCAAGATATGTCATTAAAATTGTAAATTTTAGGGGTAACAAACTGCCTAATGAAGCCTAAACTACTAGAATAACCCACACTTTCTGCTCCCAAAAAACTTCTCTACTTGAACCTACAATTCGATGGAGACTAATCAGCAGAGATACAGAGAAATCGGCTGTCTCGTTCACTGAAGAAAAGAATCTTCGCGGCTGAACTACGACTAATTTTTTTTCCAGGAAACCAGTGATTCGTATGGATGTGAAGGATAAGCTACCACTGTTGGCCGGCCTCATCAATGCTCATCATCTATCAATTCACCTGATCGTGTAAAGCCAGGTTTGGAGTTAGCTAAGTATGCCAGCCGTACCCAGTATTCCGCATTCAAACGTATCATCGAACACTTACCCTCATAGTTTTCTCCTTTAGAGGAAAAAAAGATCCCCTCCCCACCACCGCTCTATCCTCAGACACCTGATTGACTCCAAACACCAAGCTAACCCACAGAGGAACTTCAAAGTTATCTACAGAATTTTCGGGGATCTCGCTAACAGAGTACAAATCAAACTTCTTCAAACCACAGAAGCAATGGCGATTGACATGTAAAATCCTGAATACTGAATACAAAAGGGGAAGTTTGTTCACTCATTAAATCTGCAATGCACCTGATCTGTCTCAACACCGAAAACGTAATTTTTACTTTTTTTTTCTCAAATTGCATTATCTTCCTCCCTCAACACCTCTTGGATTTCTACTCCTTATGGCCACTGTTGTTGACTTGTTGACTCTCGTTCAATCAATCCCGTCAATTATATTACATCACTCAATTTACTTACTGAATTTTATTTCAGTTTCTACTTCATTAACACCCACACTAGATTACGTAATTTGTTGTCTGAAACAAACTTACAATTCTAATGACACATCTTTTATTGCTTAGACAATTTACTATCTATATATGCGATTGTGCAGGTTGAGAATGATATCTCCGAAAAGGAGAGTAGTTCTTCGCTGAACGCCTTTTCTTTTATCTTTTTATTAATGACAGTATCTGGCACTGTCATGATATTCCTACGGGTTGAAATTTATTATTATTATTATTATTATTGTTTGCTTTAACTCCTAGAGGAACATAGGGCTTCAGTCGCGCGTCTCCATTGGGTTTGGTTATCTGCCAAACTTTTCACCTAGCTCCAAGTCTCCCTACATGCCTTCATCTCCTCTTCACATGACCTCCGCCAAGTCATCTTTGGACGACCAACTCGCCACTTTCCATTCGGGTTCCACTCGAGCGATGGCTTGTCTAATGATGTCACTTGATGGTTTGTTTCCTCAGAGTGTGGCTTCAATCCACCTCTAATTCTTCCTGCTTATTTGTTGCACAATGGGTTCCTGCTGAGTTAATTCTCCCCCAGAGACCCTGTTGTTGATCTTTTCTGGCCATCCGATCTTGGGTACTGAGCGAAGACAGCTGCTGATAAAGGACTGCAGTTTGTTCGAAGTGCCCTTTGTGACGTGGCTCCAAGTCTCTGATCCATATAGTAGCACTGAATTTACATTGGAGTTGAAAATCCGGATCTCGTTTTTCATGCTGAGTGCTACTGACCTCCACACGGATTTGAGAGAAATGAAAGATTTCCTTGCTTTGATACCTTCGTCAGTTCCGCCCGTAGTTGAAACGATGCTTCCCAGGTCAGTAGGTAAAGGAGGTTGTTTCTTTCAAGTTCCTCCCATTTATGCTGATCGCTATCTGTTGTTGTTGTTTCTATTGGCGTTGCCCAGGAATCATCACCTCTGTTTCTTCTATGTTCACCTGAAGGAAGTCCTATCTTTGATGCCTCTTCTGCCAAATTGTTGCTTTTCACTTGCATATCTTCCAGTTTGTGGGAAATCAGATATATATCATCATGGGCGAAGTCCAGATTCTCCAAGGAGTGGAAAACAGAGTTTTAAAAAAAAATCAAAAAAACAGCCCATTCTAACTAATCCCACTATTATTTATTTATTAATACGTAGACATTGTATATATAATGAGTACCAAGAAAAAGGCTACACAAAATCGAATAGTTTGACCGAGGGCAGGGGATACTGTCCGGATACCCAGAAAGAAGCAGGTGGTTGTCTTATAGGTCCACTCCCTAATTCCAAACCTTTAACTTGAAGTCTTATCCACAGGCTACCAGACCAGCGTCAAGAACTTAGTTCCCATAGTTGCTGTTGACCAAACACATCTTCATACGCCGTTCCATCCGTTGGGAGATTCTAGAGCCCAAAAGTTTGGAACCAGGATTTTCCGTAGGTGCAGTGTGATACCCATTTTCTTGATCTACTGGGTTATATGCAGAAACTCAAGGCATATAAAACTATTCAATGCTAATTTGCTTTCAATGTTTACTCTAGTTATTATTGATCTATCTCGCATACACAATCAACTTTGAACTTAATTTCGGCTGGATTGGTTTGACTGTGAAACTTTCAATGTCTTTCTAGACAACATCTTCAGTGCTGATCATTAACAATGAAGTAAAAACACTGGGGATGTGAAACGACAAAATCTAGCCACAAGATTATGCTTACAACTAACTGCTTTGCCGCAGTACAGAATCGCTTGCTGTATACACACGGGTAGCCAGAGTTATCCAGGTTATTATGAGCCACATAAATATTGCTTGACATTTGATGACACTATTTCAAGTTGACCCCAAGACTGAAATAGGAGGAGCACGGATTCGAGCCCGAGATCCATTTGGTTGAAAGTTGAAAAATACTCTCCTTCTGCACTAAGGTTTCAAATCAATTCAAGCGTTGTTACTCAACAACCATTTACACAATTTCATGCATGATTGACAATGAGCCACACCTATTGTGTGTGTGTGACTTCTACCACCCAAATCTGCCACAGCCTGCATAGGGCGAGCTCCGGAGCCCCGCAACCTACTTGGTTGGAAGTCAACCGTCTAGACCACCACCGATGAACCAACAGAACTCCATAAATTAACGTCTACTATAAAATCAATACAGGTCTGATCACAAGCCGATATCAGTTGGAGAATCACTGAAAAACCAGGGAATACTGGATAGCTGTTTCGTCCTAGTTTGGAATTCTTCAGAAATACCCACCTGCCAGGGTTCGAACACAAGATCTTCCCGTTACTAGACGAGCTCATATTATTATTCAGCCACTGGGACCCGAACCATTGGCCTGTGAATACCAACTTCTGTCAATTCACTATATAAATCATAATCGCCAATTAGTCTGATAGACGAGCAACTGGTCCTCTTATATCTGACTTTATCGACCCCACTGATTACCACTGTAAATTGATAGAATTGTAAAGAAAGTAGTAATCAAATAAAATGTTAAAATTGCTTACCATATTGTGTTGATGTGTCAGTGTTATCTGACCATCTTGACTAAATGATAACGAAATACCCATACGTCTCAGTGCATTCAAATGATCTGTATTATCAGGTTGAAAATCCATTGCTTTCAAGGGTAGAAATGACTGGTCCTTCATATTGTGATTATTATTATTATTAGTAGTAGTAGTACTAGTATGACCACTCCTTGATTGATGATGATCCAAATTAATAGCTATCTGACGTAATGGTTGACGTATTGAATCAATAATACGCCATACATGCGATTTAGAGAAAACATACTTTAATACAAAATCATCAGTATTATGACATTTTGGTAATTGTTTAGCACAATAATGATAGAAAAGATTTGGTGTTTCAGAAATATGACAAGTGGTTTTCAAGCGCCAATCAGCATCACTCACAGTAGTCGTAGTAGCCCCACTATCTTTCTCCTTGTTCTTAACTTTATCATCACCACCATCTTCAGCCTCGTTGTTCTTCTTCTTGTTATCGTCTTCAGATTTCTCAGCTTCCTGATTATTTTTATTCCTGCTGGATGACAAACATTTCATTGTATGCCTATGCTGCATTTGTTCATAACCAACAGCCATACACTGGGCTGCTTTATGTAATAACTTTTCAACTTTTACATCTCTATCCCCATGATGATCAGGTGTCAATTTGACGGTAGAGGAGGATGACATCGATGCAGATAAATAAGAAGATGAAGAAGAAGACACAGGAATACTTGCATTCTGTGATATATTCTTGACAATTCTATTCAATGAAGAGGATGTCACTGGATGACGTGATAAACTCAACGGGAGGAGATGTGCTTCTGTTGTAAAAATATAATCATCTAGATTGATTGGTAGATCAGACGACTCAGCAAATAATAAGTAGAGATATTTAAAGGTTTCAGCTAGTACAAATGAATCGAATTGATCTTCATGCTCCATAGTACGTACATCCTAAATAATAATACAAAAAATAAAGAATTCATAAGGCAAACACTCCGTGTGACTAGCAGTATGAAATCCAAGGATGAGTATTTCGTCCCATTTTGAGACTCGCCATCTGGGGGGGGGGAAGGGTGCACTTACAATCCTCAGTGATTGACTCAAACCAGCTAGCTATCACTTCTCTCTAGAGAGATTGTAGGCACTTCAACTGGATGAGTCCCAAAATACGATGAAATGCGCATCCTGGAATCCATTGCCAGTTACTATCCACTAAATAACATCAAAATTAATCCTTAGATATAATCGAAGCATCATCTAGATAGGAGCCCACATATCGACACAGGCTGAACATTTTGCTCCAACATAATTAATCAACAAGATGTACAAAATTCACTCAAACAATCAGTTTACTGAGTGATGATGATCGTGATTATGATGACTAGCAAAACATCGGAACGTTCGAAAGAAACAGGTCAACTTATTAAGCCTGAGATAGATCCAAATTAATTTTTTTCTATGTATGAACGTCATGAAAAGTAAATTCTAACAGGCTGCTTACTACAGATTTTCATCAACAGGATGAGATCACCGATCAGATCAGGAAGGAAAGGGCGACAAGGAATCCATCACCCAACAGTGATATACAAGAGAAAATGGTAACGGTAATTGAGCATACACTGAGGAAAACAATGAGTGACATCCTGCGCATCAGGCGTAACCTCGAGTGAAAATCGAGTTGGAAACGATGAGTTGGGCGTCCAAGAGTAATATGGAAGAGATCATGCAAAAAGGAGGGAATATAAGCTTATGAGGAATCGTGGAACCAGCTAGCTGAACAAGAATTCAAGGACCGAGTGAAATTGCAATTTGTTCCTGAAGCACTATGTTCCATTAGGAACCAAAGGGGATAATAATAATAATAATGTTAAAATGCAACAGCTACGGACCGGAAGCTTTCAGAATCAACCAGATAAAATGCTGCATTGTGGGACATTTCTTGATATGTTACTAACCAGTCATAACACGGTTTTTATAAATTAAACTTCTAATACATGGATTCGTAGGTCCGTGGTATAGCGGTTAGGACGCTCGCCGACCATGCACATGGTCCGGGGTTCGATCCCCGGGCACTGGATGCACTCCTTTACCTCGCTAATCCAGAAATAATGGTGGTAAAGAGGAAAGGTTGGGCATGAGGCTAGCAACCCCATAAACACTGCTACAGAAACTTCAATCCACTAGCTTGAAGCCCTAACAAGCCCTATGTTCCACTGGGGAACGTGAAGGAAAAAAATACATGGATTATGTGAAAATTTCGAAGATAGAGAGTCCGAAATGAGAAGGGCCTTAAAACAGGACAAGTTAGACTATTTAGTGTTTTAATTGGACACTAGTAAGTAACTTTCTTTAGTGCAGACTGAATTCTATCAGTTAAATTTGCAATGTGGCCACCATGCCACTAGGTGGCTCGCCATAGCGGTGTACTGTGAATTATCGATATTACGGTCCTACAGGAGGTCAATCGCGAGCCCGACCTCAGGCGGCACTGGGTGACGCGAGTTCGAATCTCAGAAGGGATATGAGTTCCTTCAAGGTTGCACATACGCCAGCTTGCTGACAGATGACGGTCAACTAGTACCAAGCCTAGGTCTAGTTGGGTTTCCTGTGACCGACTGCCTCCAACCACCATCTAATATCAACAATATCTAGTGTTTATTAACTAAGTGTTAGTTAGTGTGGGGCTTATTCATAAGAAAGCAGCTAGACATACTGATTATGGCCTGTAGGGTAACACACGTTTAACTTTCAAATCAGTATAAGTCATGGATTCTTTTTATTACCATTAGTTCCGTCCGAGTGGATGCAATTATACTTAGATCTCAGTTACCCGGCACCGAGCTATCAGTCACACTTAACATATGAGGACTGACGATACTATTCAGTCGCCTAGGCTGAAGCAGGCATGGGGAGGGATTCGAACCCAGGACCCATTGCTTTGGAAGTTGACTGCTTAAACCGATGAACCACACCTCGACTGATTTTCGAGCTTGAGCACTGAAGTTCAGTAAGCAGTGGTGGTGTTGGGGGGGGGGGGAGTTATTGACCTCACGCCCCTCAAGCTTTTTTTACTCCAGGCTTACTATCAGCCAGTAGACTAGGCGAAGTTTAGGAATGCGTCGGTCGGGAATTGAACCTTAGGCCCTGCGCACAGCTGCAGAGCATTCTACTAATGAGCAGCCGATACACCTAATTAGAGAAAATAAATATGGAGAGAGAGAGAGGGGGGAATGGGGCGGAGAAAGTAAACAGAACAAACAATAACAAGACGAGAAACACTTACCTTAATTGCTGCAAAACCACATGGTACACGTGTATACTTTTCTAAATCATTAACAATTTGTTGACCAACTTGTAAATAATATGGATCTTCTGTAGCACGATATAATAAATAGGTGGATTCAATTAACTCTGGTCTAAGTAAATGTTGGCCCCAGTGAACATTAAAATCTGGTGTAAATGCTTCAGGTAATAATTTATTACGTTTATGTATTAAATATAATAATTCATGTAATGCAACAGCACGTTTTACATCACCTGTAAGAACCTTTTTAAAAAGATGAGATAGATTAATATATGAGCATATTTTAGTACGGATTTAATTACTTTTGAGTTAGATTAAAAGCTGAAATGAATTACTGAAAACCATTGGGGAGCATTTGACACCTGTTTCACCCTAGTTGGAGACTACTTTTCAGCAGTGAGGTTCACCACCACTAAGTCGAGTGTATCGAGGATAGTTGACCAGGGCTTTACTTATACACATGACAGAATGGAAGAAGTTAGAATTCATAGGCCGTTCATTGGATTCAACCTCGGTGACTAAAGGTTCTAGGTTCAATCCTGAAGTGTGGGCGATTACAGGGTGCGTTATGCTGAAGAGCCTCGGTAATCAAATACTGGTTTTCAATAATTCTCTATTAATTATTGAATTGAATTTTTGATTTTCCCGTCGATTGATTAGACCGAAGTGCTCGGTCTCAGGTTGACATGTCGGCTTCTTGTGCAGATGCTTCGACGATGTCTGGGTATTTAATTAGTATACAATTGGTGGATGGTGGCTAGCAGTGGAATCCAGGATGCGCATTTCGTCCTATTTGGGACTCGTCATATGGATGTACCTGCATTTCTCAGTGAGTGATGGTGTTCCCACTGAGGCTCGAACCCAGTGCCCATAGTTTCAAACGCCAAAGCGTTATCCACTAGACCACTTGGGCCACGAGAGCCACCTCTTGTCTAGTGGATAACGCTTTGGCGCCTGAAACTATGGGCATTGGGTTCGAGCCTCAGTGGGAACACCATCACTCACTGAGAAATGCAGGTACATCCAGATGACGAGTCCCAAATAGGACGAAATGCGCATCCTGGATTCCAGTGCTAGCCACCGTCCACCAATTGTATACTAATTCTCTATTAATATTATTATTATTCGAGTGGAACATAGGGCTTCAAAAACGCATCCCCAGTTTCTTCTATTTTCTGCCGTCCCATTGTTGCGCATAATCCCTCATCTCCTCCTCCCCGACACACGATCTCCCCCATGTCAGTCTCGCACCAACGACTAACTCGTCGCTTCCTATTAAAATTTCATTCAAGGGATGACCTGCATCGGCTGAGATTCCATTCGACATCCTCTTCAATGTATCCCTAATTAATCTCCATTTTCTACTACATATTTGTGGTGCGATAACATCTTGGCTGGTTTGTTCCCAGCCAGAGTTTCTTGTGGCTAATTCTTTCTGATCTTCCGGTCAGCCATTTGATCTTCAATATACAGCCAACGAAGACAGTTGCTGATAAAAGTCTGTAACTGGCTATTGCAAATCCTTTTCGTGACTCACATGCAGTGCAAGTTTCTGACCCGTATAGAAGAATGACTGACTGACTAACTTCACATTTGTGTTGAATAGAATCCGAATCTTGTTCTTCATGCTGTCTGAGACGGAGTGTAGAAGATTTCGAAACTGGTTTCAAGTTGATGAAGGCGTATCTTGCCTTTCCGATTCTTTCTCCTAGTTCCTGTCCACTCTACAGCCTCATACTGACTAGTCATTTTCTCACACTTCTCACGTCATGCCAAGTTCTATCTACCTAGGCGGGGATGACCAACTGGAAGTTACAAAAGTAACTTCTAATTAGTCATCCCCGCCTAGGTTACATCTTACGTTACGTAATACACTTTTCGAGGACAAATTTTACTGACCAGTATCTGATTGGTCTTATGATTTCTTTGTTAAATATAATTTCTGTCGTACTGTACAGCTTATGAAAGTGAATCGTCGACAAGAAAATTCTCTTCGCTGTTTACGTCTTTTTCTTATGACTTAAAATGGTAATATTTCGTTCATTCAAGAACTGTAATGAGTAGAAATGTCCAAGAGAAAGAGTAGTACAATTGGAAACCATTAAGGTTAAAAGAATATGGGGGATAACAAACAGCGGCGAATGCATCTGCGCCATTGAGAGCAATTTTGAGTCATATCACCAATAGATCCAAGCTACTGGTTTTTAGCGTCCCAATGAGAGCCTTAACTAGGTAGCCTATAGCTTCCTAGGTGTCTGGCTCAAACTGACAGTTAAAGTTTCTATGGATTGATGTGATATTTTGGTTTGACCATTCTTAACGCTTTTCCAACCTAATCTTATGTTAGCTGATATTGAGCATAGAAGAAGCCGTTGAATTGGCATGCGTTACACGTGTCCTAGACATCTCAATCGATATAACCCTTCACAACCTCATCGATTAACTTCCCATCTTTATCATACACTATACGCCTAACTAAGCACAATATCGCCCACAGCTAACAATGACTGTTAAAATATCCAATACCCATCAACCAAAGTCATGCGAACAGATCACTGGAATCATATCAAGGGCTCCGATGAGTAGTCCGTTAAGAAAACTACTACCTGTTCCGGGGAAGACATCCATGCAGTTTATCAACCATAAGATAAGTTATCAAATAACAACCAGTGTTCAATGTTGTAGCAACGAATTCGTGTTGACATAAGAGACGATAAAAGAGTGTATGTATATTGTCATTAGTTGAAATCTGATCCAAGAATAAAACTTGCGCACTGCAATGGTAGAGTATAATTCCATCATGGGTAAAATTTATTTCGATAAAGTCTCACAATGTTGTTATACAGTACAGTAATATTTACTGATGACCACATTTCTAGCACAATTCATTACTGCTCATAATCCTAACAAGGCATTACTCACACACTTCTAACTTCGTTTTTTTTAATTCCATCATTCTCCATCGCTTGACTTGATGACTGGTAGTAGTATTTTCTATATTTCTGGTATGAGTGATGAGTCATTCCTGTTGCGTGTGTTGGGTGTAGATTAATTGATGAACAAGGAATCTGTCAGTAATCAATCTCTCTCTCTACCTATCTAGATTACTTTTGGAATTTTAACCCTCTCCCACCCTATTGTGTGTAGTTGTGTGTTAATGCATGCAGTGCAATGTAATCGCTGAGCTTTTTTCTAAATTACTTATCTTCTCGGGGTCAACCGTTCTTACCTCATCTAAATTCTTATGTTCCGACAATCTGACTAGCCCCGACCTACTAGTTTGACCTATGTAGTTGACCTCACAGATGAGTAATTTAGAAAAAAGCTCAGCGATTACATTGCACTGCATGCATTAACACACAACTACACACAATAGGGTGGGAGAGGGTTAAAATTCCAAAAGTAATCTAGATAGGTAGAGAGAGAGATTGATTACTGACAGATTCCTTGTTCATCGATTAATCTACACCCAACACATGCAACAGGAATGACTCATCACTCATACCAGAAATATAGAAAATACTACTACCAGTCATCAAGTCAAGCGATGGAGAATGATGGAATTAAAAAAAACGAAGTTAGAAGTGTGTGAGTAATGCCTTGTTAGGATTATGAGCAGTAATGAATTGTGCTAGAAATGTGGTCATCAGTAAATATTACTGTACTGTATAACAACATTGTGAGACTTTATCGAAATAAATTTTACTCATAATGAAATCTGATCCACTAACCAAAAGGTTCAAAGTAGCCATATAGTTAGAAGAAGACATATAATCGAACAACATTGTTGTTTTCAATTGGATCTTCATCAGGCTTTATTCTAATTTATATAGATTTATACATAAAAAATTTTGACCAATGACGGTGATTTTGTGGAATCAAATAATAATGATAACAATAATTTTCAAGTATTGATTTTGTAGGGATTTTGTTTGATTGCATGGAGGATTTCATCATGAGCTGACATCAGTTAGAGAACCACTGGAAAACCTGGGAGTACTGGAGGCATGTTTCATCCTAGTTTGGGACTCTCCATTCAATCAATAAAATCCCTACAAAACCAATATTTGAAAATGAATCTGATGCTCACTAGCGACTGGCCCTATTCAGGCAGTTAACCTGGGGTTCTAGTGGGAAGCCGTGACCAGTAGGGTACAGCAGGTCGAAGATGAGGCAGTAAGTCATCGAAGAAGACATTGCGAAATGGTCGTGCTATGTTGTGAATTCGCAGAAGTTAGAATTCATGGGCTAACTGGCCATTGGATCGGGTCCCAGTGACTGATGAATGGTAATGATAATAATGTTTATGCAGACAATTCAATAAATAAACTAGTTCAAATCTTGGAAGTTACGTAATACTAAAGGTGAAATGGACATATAATCAGAGTTTAAATAAATATCATAAAAATACGAAGGAGATGGAAAATAAGAAAGGGTGGGGGGGGAGGTTTTAATACAATTCACCTAGGCCAAGCAAGGGAGAGACAAAGGTAGAATAAACTCCTTTTATTGTATGTAAAGACTAGGATTGTTCTCTCAAATTAATTCCCATAGCTTCGGTTATGTGTAAAAGACGGGATCTGATTCCGTTCGAAAGTTTCGATGGAATGCGACAGATCGCTTTGAAGGCGGCACAATTTCTGTCCACTTGGTGACCGTTATCATCAATCAAATGAGCCAAAGTAGAACTTCTTATAGATTTTATTTGATTTTCAAGTATTGGTTTTGTAGGGATTTTGTTTGATTGCATGTAGTTTATAGTTGTTAGTATTCAACAAAAGGTAACAGAAAAGATGAGGATTGTAGCGTGTCAAGTGCATCAATCAAAAAAAGTATATGGGTTGATATCTAAGATTTACAACTACATACATAGCTGTATATGCATTCACTCACTTGTAAACCAGGCCAAAAGGCTAATAAGGCATCCATAAATGTTCTTGCACGCTGAGCTGGTCGGTGCATATGTACATCCAAAAATAGGAAGGGGAATTCAGCTGATTGTGGTCCACCAACATATCGATTCACTGCTTCATAGTGTGTTTGGAAACGATGCAGGTAGACTGGTTCACCGAGTAATATATACGCCTTTAATAAATATTCATAATAAGAGTCAATGCCAGCGCCAACACCAGACTCTAGAAAAAATTTAAGGAAAAGAGAAGTTACCAGAGAGTGAGACACAGTAAAAAATATAATACACACTTCCTTCTGGGGAATAAAGTGTCTGTGCTTCCATAGACGCCATGGTACAACCAAGGTTCGGTAGACTTTTGTTCTCGTCATGTGGTCACACGATCACAGCTCGTGGCATTGTCTTCAAATAGCGGCTACAACCAAACAAGTGAACATGCTGGTCTACGTAGGGAAGTAGGAAGATCCTGATTACTCCAAACATAGGATGCACATGGGCTCCAGGATCCGAGCAGACCGATTGGCGTACCGGCCTGTTTTCGGTGACCAGCAACCATGCGAACACAGTTTTTAACGCTGCTTTGCTGCCTTTTGGATCAGACTTCAAGTCAAAGGCCCGGAAGTGGCCCCTTAAAAAACGATCCGCCTCGATCTAGGGATCCGGACAGTATCCCAGACGCCGCACAAACCATGAAATTTTGTGTGGCACATTTCTTGGTACGAAGTATATGTTTTAACAAGAGAATAAACAATAAATCAAGTGTCTTTAGCATACAGTTTGCGTGGAATTAGATAGAAATTTAGACAGTCAGTCAAAAAGGTCAAGCCACAAGGAACTCTGGTAATGAACCGACCAAGAACCTATCGCCCCACAAATATGCAAAAAAAGGTAATCACGATGGATTGGACAGACGGTGAGAAGAGACAGCTAAGTGACCTCACATGGACTCCGAATAGGACACACCGAGTTCAGTGTAAATTTTGGGGTTGACATGGAAGAATTTGTGCAGGGAAGTGAAAACGAGGGCTTATGTAGAATCATAGAACAGCCAGCTAAAAAATGTAGCTAAGAACAGGGAGAAATAAAGACACGCTGAGGGATCCAAGGGAATAATAATAATAATTCAGGGAATAAGAGAGATCACACGATTGACTTTATAGATTTCAGATTTCTAAGGGTGGAAAAGCGAAAAAGTTCTACTGTATGAAATAACAACTTATTCTAACATAGATATTACTTTTAAAAATTTAGTTTATATGGTGGATTTTAATGAATTAGAATAATGGAGATTTTGTCAGGTATTTTGACACATAGTTAATTTTCAATGATTCTAGAATAATTCCTGACTGACTGGTTTCAACGTAGAACTGCCCTGCACAGATATGCGGCAGTTCGAGTTCTCACTCTGCTTCTATCCATGTAGCACACAAAACAAGAGAAGACGGCTAAGAGAGATAATAAATAGCAACATGAGGCAAAAAGAGCAGTAATATGGAAGAACAATAGAATTTTATATATCATAAAGAGTGAATGCATCTGCGCCAGTCATTGACAACGAGGATTTTCAGCCATATCATCAATTGTCGCCAGAATTCATTTGTTCTTACCATCCCGAGGACCCAACCAGCCAGTCAGGAAGTTTACACGTCTCCTTAAGTAACTGGTTCAAACTAACTCTTGTGGATTGCATTGGCTGATGAAGCCATATTCTGGCCATATTCTAGCTCTTTTCCAAGCTCATCTATCCTATGTCAGCCAGTTAACATTGCCCGTTGTCGAGGAAAATATCCAGGCAGCCATAGATACAGCTGTAAAAGCTGTGAATAAGTCAAACCCAAAGGTGAGTAAAAACCACTGGATCTCCACTGCCTCATCCGAACTGATAGATGCTAGAAGACTTATTCCGGCGAGCTCCGAATTCAATGAGGAGCGAAAGCTGCACAAAAGGAAACTTACGAAAAGTCTCCGCAAGGACCGTGAACAGTGGTGGGTGACAAAGGCGAAAGAGATGGAGAAAGCTTCGTCGATAGGCAACACCAGGCAACTATTTAGACTCATCAGGGAAACGGGTGGGAGAAGACAAATCATTAGTGAAACAATCTCGGAAAAAAGTGGCACTATAATTAGCTCCAGGATAGACGACTGGATCGTTGGAAAGAGCATTATGAGGAGCAGTTTAATTGGCCCACAGCCACGCTCAACCTTCCGATTATCCAACACCTCCCTGAATGGGATATAGACACAGGTCCTCCATCCCTAACTGAGGTTACTAAAGCTGTCACCAATCTGAAACTAGGCAAAGCAGCGGGACCTGATGGAATGACTCCAGAGGTATTTAAGTACGGTGGAGACAGTTTACTGTCTGCATTAACTGAGGTACTAGGCAGCGTCTGGGAATCAGAAGAAGTCCCATCGGGTTGGTGTAAGTCACTGATTATCCCCATATACAAGAAGGGAGACAAGTCTTCCTGTGATAATCACAGAGGGATTAGCTTGACTAATATAGTATCTAAAGTCTTAGGCTCAATAATCATGCGTAGACTAAGTGGTGCTCGGGAGGCACAAACACGAGAGAGCCAGGCAGGCTTTAGACCAGGAAGAGGGTGTATTGATCATATCTTCACCCTCCGACAGATTCTAGAACATAGGAATTCCTACCGGCGTCCAACAGTCATTATATTTCTTGACCTAAAGGCAGCATTCGACTCTGTCGATCGAGAAGTTCTCTGGAGATGCTTGGCTGTAAAGGGAATTCCGAGAAAATATATTGCACTGATTAAGGCACTCTACTCGTACTCATACAGCCAGGTGAGGGCTTACGGCGAGCTGTCATCTGAACTGGTGACGACCAGTGGTGTCCGTCAAGGATGCCCATTATCCCCTTTTCTATTCAACTTCATCATAGATGTGTTAATGGACTTAACCCTAAGTGACTTCAGCGACTCAGGGATTGACTTGCTACCAGGGAATAATCTCGTTGACTTGGAATATGCAGACGATATAGTCCTTCTAGGCGAAGACGCTGACAAAATGCAGAGTCTTCTAAACACCTTGAAGAGAGCTATCTACGAATGTTTGGCATGCGATTCGCTCCCGCCAAATGCAAGATGATGTTACAGGACTGGACTACATCGACGCCTAGTTTAAAAATAGGAAGTGAAGTGGTAGAGCACGTTGACCGCTTCACTTATTTGGGAAGTACCATCAGCCAACCAACGGGTTGATCTCTGACGAAATCTCAGCACGAATACAGGGGCTCGTTTCGCATTTGCCAGTTTACGCCGACTCTGGCGTAGACGAGATGTTCGACTATCGACCAAAGGGCGGGTGTACTGCTCATCAGTCCGCTCCGTCCTCCTTTATGGTTGTGAGACCTGGCCACTGAGAGTGGAAGACATGAAAAGACTAGCTGTCTTTGATCATAGGTGCCTGCGCTCTATTTCCCGTGTAAAGTGGCATAATAAGGTGAGCAACATTGAGGTTAGGCGTCGGTCGAGTTCTAGGTAAACAGGGGAAATCAATCGACGAAGTCGTGAAGTTACAAAGACTGAGATGGTTAGGACATGTGTTACGTATGCCAAGTCATCGCCTCCCTCGACGAGCAATGTTAGCGGATATAGGGTCAGGCTGGAAAAAAGCTAGCGGCGGTCAAACCAAAATATGGCTTCACCAGTCAATGAAATCCAAAACAGTTAGTCTAAGCCACGTAGGAAGGTGTAGACTTCCAGGCTGGGGTCCTCGGGACGGTAAAAATCTATGGTTGGAAACAATTGGTGACATGGCTCAAAATCGTTCTCAATGGCTGGCTGCGCAGATGCATCCACTCCTTGTGACTTATGATTTCCAATGAAACTGTTTTGTTCTTCGTTATTACTCTTCCTTTGTCTCACACCTCTGTTCACTGTCTCTACTATGCTTTTCTTGTACTTTCTTCTCTTGCTTCGTGTGCTACACGGAGTGTGGCGACTTGAACTTCCGCACATTTGTGCAAAGTTCTATGTCGAAAACAGACAGACAGACAGACCAGTCTACACCTCCATACGTGGCTGGTTCAAACTTAATGTTGTGGATTGCATTGATTGATGAAGCCATGTTTTGGTTTGACCACAGTGTGCTAGCTCTTTTCCAACCTCATCCATCCTGTGTCACTTAGCTAACATTCCCCGTTGTCGAGGAAGGCGAAGACTAAGCATACGTAACACATGTCCTAAACATCTCAGTCGATGTAGCTTCACAGCCTCGTCAATTGATTTCCCCTCCTCTGTACTTGACATTCGACTGATGACTAACCTCAATACTACTCGCCCTATTATACCATTTCAAACGGGAGATAGAACGCAGGCACCTATGATCAAAGACAGCTAGCCTTTCCATGTCTTCCACTCTCAATGGCCAGGTCTCATTCACAGCTATACAGGAGGACGGAGCGAACTCACTGCTGAACAGTACACACGTCCTTTGGATGACAGCCGCCTGGACATCACGTCGACTAATAAAGAGATGGCGTATGTTGTTGTATGCTAAATGAGAATTCTGAATCCCTGAAGAGATTTTATTAGCGATCAACCTGTTGGGGCTGATGCAACTTCCTCAATAAGTGAACTGGTCAACACACTCTACTATTTCATTCACTCCCTATCTTTAAGCTAGGACTGAGTCGATGTAGTCCAGTTCTGTAGCATCATCTTACATTTGACGGCAGTAAATCGCATGCCAACTATTGGAAGACTGCTGCTCCTCAAGGTGATAACAACAAAAATAACAGAATATGTCAGTCAGTAAAACTATGCAACCTTCGATGTTTTTTTTAACATGTTTGATGAGACCAAATATTTCATACATTGCTACACTCCGTCACACACCTGAAAGATTCTTATATTATGATGTGTCTTTTGCTGTACAGACACACATCTTGTCAAGTCTAGAGAATAGTACGTTACGACCCACTATCGATAGTTTCTATATATACCAAAGATACATGGATAATACTCTCATCATATCTGACTACAATACTAACATCGAAATGATAATTAATGAATTCAACAACTGCCATCATGCCATCCAGTTCAAGTCAGGATCAGGGATGAACTCGAAATTCCATTTTTTGGATGTTTTCCGAAAAAAGAGATCTGACGGTTCTCTTCAAACATCGATCTACACGAAACCAACATGGAATGGTCAGTCAATACACGAGTTTTCATAGTTGGAATCCTTTGAGAAGAAAGGAAAATCTGATCCACTCCTTATCACCAAGAATAATAAGGATATGCACCAGTGGAACTGGAGATACTCAGGCGAGTCCTCATGGAAAATGGATATCCTCCAAGATTCATCGAGAAAAACATCAAGGTAAAGCAAAAGCCCAAAAGAACCCAGACGGTGTCGAAGAAATTGCCACTTATGAACGTTGAATTTAAAGATGACACCGCAGCTGAAATCCTGAAGAACCGCTGCTTACCAAGATCACTGAGAAAAGCCTTCTTTGCAGCTGAGCTACGGACCGACTTCTACAGCCGATAAATAAATGATCAGTGGATGTGACGGATAAACTGCCATTTTGGGCCATTTCAATGCGTTTATAAATTCACCTGCTCTTGTACACTTAGTTGCATTGGCCGCACAAAGCGCACACTTTCTAAATGTATCTCTGAACATTAGCCCGCATGGTTAGCGAAAGGATAAAACAAGATAGTTACTAGCTCAAATCTCGAGCACTTGGTGAACTCAAGTCATGTAGCTCTACCAGAGTCGTCTTTCCAAATTATCTACATGGTGAGCCCAAACGGTACAAATAGCGTCAGGCTTCGGCATTTGCATATGGCAGAAGCGTTGATGTCTCTTGTTGGTGTCTATGTTGTACCAGATTCTGTATTTTAAATAAATGAAATTATAAACACAAACAATAAGATAAAAGACTATTTCTCTTCTACACGAAGAAAACCCGACGCAACTCCTCAGTGATTTAAAATTACAGATGAAAGGACGGAAAAAAACTGAATTGAAACTGATTGATTACCTTGACGTATCCAATCACCATTGCGTACATTAATTACACGACCAACAAGATCTGAATAACGATTACGTTGTTTCCATAGAAATGCCATTGCTTTAGCTGCTTTCTCTTCATAGATTGGATCACCAGTTAATCGACTTAATGCAGCAAATTCAAGTATCATTGTACCAGCGCATGCAGTACATGTATTCTCCTATACACAGCAGACAGAATAGTAGTCATCAACAACAAGAAATTATAAAGAGAGTATAAAACAAACTCATAGTCACTATAAAAATTATTATTATTATTCCTTTTGGATCCGCAGTAGAACATTTTGGGCTTTAGCAGTGTACATCTCCGTTTCACTTTGTTTTCTGACGTCTATTAAGCTCACTCTACCACACCACCAATCAGCGCCTTTATTCCCTCCATGTCACCACCTTCATATGCTCAAGTCATCGTTTGCCATTTAGTTTCCACTTGACCGTATACCTAGACTGTGTGTTACTCAATAGTCTAGGCAGTGTGTGTATGCATGTCTGATCCATCTCCATTTTCCTCGTTGTTTATCCTTACTTATCGCTCATCTAATCATCAGCAACAAACCAGCTAAGGCAGTTGTTGATAAAAAGTCTACAGCATGTTGTAAATGCTTAGATAACGCACCAAGTCTATGAACCATATAGAAACACTGATTTGAGCGACATGAGTGTTGTAAATCTGAACCATGTTTTTTATGCTCAGCTCATTGGGTCATACACAGAATTATTTTGAGCTATATCACTGACAAGGACTAAAATCAGACGGTCGACAAGTCTCCCTATATGGCTGACTCAAACCAATAGTCAGAGACTTTATGAATTGATATCGTGTTTTGCTTTGACCACCAGCTAACTCTTAGGTAGTTGGAAGCAGTCGGCAAGAAGCCCAACTAGACCTAGGTTTCTCAGAAGGGACATGAGTTCCTCCAATGTGGTTGCAGATACGCCAGCTTGCTGACTGGTGAGTGCCAACTAGCACGAAACCTAGGTTCAAGGCTTCCTGCCGAGATTGCCTCTAAGTATCTAATATATCATCAAATCAATGTGCACCGTGATGGCGAGCTACCTAGAATGGTGGTCACATTACAGAAACCTGACTGACAGAATTCAGTTTGCACCAAAGATAGAACTAGACACGTCACACTAGTTACCAGTGTACAATCAAACTACCAGCTAACTCTTTTCCACTAACCTAACGATTTCAAACGATACACATATACAACCTCATGAATTGGTCTTTCCTCCTTAACATTCTATCTACTAAAAGAATAGAGTCTGCTTGTATCCCGTTTCCTTTGCTTTTTGAGTGGAACATAAGGTTTCAAGCTGTTTTTATAGGATGACGTTGTTAGCCTCACGATCACCAGCTTTTCCTCTTTTCCAGGTAAATTACTGACTAGTAAACTAAGCAAAGTCTCGAAGTTTATTGACAGGGAGTCGAACTCCGGACAATTAGCTGATTAGCTGACTAGCTTCTATCACTGAACCACTGACGTACAACACATATATATCTATATATTTAAAGCCCAAATCGATTCGAGGATTTACAACTAACTTGTCTTCCTTGAATTTCCCTCGCAATTCATAGCTGATACACATAAATCCAGAGAAATGATCACGGTCATTTTTCCTTCGCTAGTCACGATTGAATGACTCAATCTACATAGGTTGTAGTCGATCAGAATTTGAAGTTGTCCAACTACACTCAACTACGCCACAATGTGGTCTAATGTTCGACCTCCAGCTGACGCACTCCTTAACCTCGCTTTGCCGTTGATAAGACCAGTAAAGAGGGAAAGTTGAGTGTGAAACTAGAAATCTCACTCTGTAAAAAAAACACCTCTGCTGCTGAAAATTCAAAGCTCAAGCCTCAAACTCTACACTCCAATAGGGACGCAGAGGATTTAAATGAAATAAAATAATGATTAGGGTAAGGAAATTCACCGCACAATTTCTCCTTAGGAAAATAGAATTGTTCAAATCACAATATATGCTAATCTGCTTGTTACTGTTAAATGGTAATCAATGATGCAAAAGATAGAGCATGATGGATATGAGTATTGGGAAAGCAAACACAAAATACACCAGACTGTCGGATGGAACTCGAAGAGGAAATGACAAGTTGGGTGTGGTTTCGAGGATGAAACGGCAAAGAGCATGAGAAGAGAAAGTGAAAGTTTGTGTGTGTGGAGGGGCGTCTTACAACCTGCTAAAGAATAAAGTGCATTGGGAATGTGCCTCTGGAGAGCCCTACACTCCATCCACAAACCAGCAAATGGACGGATGAATAATAACCATAATAAAAATAGATGTAAGAAGCCAGCCATCTTCTTAATCTCCTTAGAACTCATACACCAGAATAAGAGTGCAGAGTGTGTGCGTGTATGAGATGTCTGACAAAGCTTACCCAGTTAGTTACTTGCTCATGTAGGCTGAAGAAGTCCGAGAGGGATTCGAACCTGGCACCTATTGACCAATGACCCAAACACACATATCCACTAAGAAATATATTCATCAATAATATTTGTCACTTTTTAGAAAATAATTTCCGATTATCTTTTTCTATAATATATAATTGACACTACTGATAACAAACTTAGCAGCTAGTCACATATTTAGTGACACACCAATGATAATGACAATAAGTGGTTTAACAGCGACTACATACTGTTATGTGCTGTCGAGTTTTGAGATATGACAGATTGACACACTGTTACTTTATAGTTTAGGCTTTGAGTAGGGGTGATTCATCACTATAACAATACTATATACTCAATGTCTCTTTCTCAGGAATTTATACACCCTAATAAACATTGAAATTAGACTAGACACGTAGCAGTTTGAGTTGTACGTTTATTTGTTTTGTTCATGATTTGTTCAAAGTTTTAACAAATAGTAGATCTAACTATATTACAAACTCTCTATCTCTTCCTCTATCTCTCTCACTAATAACTAACTTAAATAGTATAAACGCAGTGTTGACAGAAATACAACGACTGCGATATTCAGGTTAGGCGTCGAGTGCTAGCTAAGCAGGGGAAATCAATAGACAAGGCTGTGAAGCTACATCGACTGAGATGGTTGGGAAGTACATGTGTTACGTACACATGTCTAGCCATGGCTCTCCTCGACAGGCAATGTAAGGTGACATAGGGTCATGCTGGAAAGGGCTAGCGGCGGTCAAACCAAAACATGACCTCATCAGTCAACGGAATCCACAACGGTTAGTTTAAGGCAGCCACGTAGGAAGGTGTAGACTTCCTGGTTGGGGTCCTCGGGGTGGTAAAAACCAATGAAGGCTGGACACAATCGCTGATGTGGCTCAAAACTGTTCTCAATGACTGGTGCAGAGGTATCCACTCCTTGTGACTTATAATATCCAATGAAACTATATTGTCATTCGTTACTGCTATTCCTTTTGTCTCATACCCCTGTCTACTGTCGCTATTATGCATTTCTCCTACTTTCTTTTCTTGCTTTGTGTGCTACAAGGAGGGAGTGTGGCGACTTGAAGTGCTGCACATCGGTGCGGAGTTCTATGTTAAAAACAGACAGACAGACTGCGATACACATTTCCTCATTAGCCGAATTTGTGTGCATTTCCATTTTGTGAGGAAGCCTTCGGGGGTAGACATTTTCAGTGAGGATCATCACAATTCATCACAAAATTCATGAAGTCAACAAGACTGAAATTGCTCCTCTCCATGAAACCCGTCTATCTGAATTTGTAATTCACTGGAGACTCACTCGTTGGTGGAAGTACTCAAGAAAACGCTTGTCCCAATTATTGAAGAAAATCTTCGCAACTGAACTTCAACTCACTTCCACTACAAAGACAAATGATTCGGATGAATGTGGAGACTAAACTACCAACTGCTGACTTCATTTATGTGTATTATTTATCAATACACTCACTACTTTGGGGAAGCTAGGTATGCCGGTCATAATCAGTGTTTGTTATCCAAAACATATCGTTGAACATTGTTAGGCTCATGGTTTTATAAAGGAGAAAAAAGATCCCCACCACCGCAGCTCTATTCTGTAACACACGATCGACATTTGAACACCACGTGAACCCGTAAACCAACTGCAGAGTCGTCTATAGAGTACGTGGTAATCTTGACAAAGAAGTGTGAATCAAACTTCTTCAGATCGCAGAAGTCAGGGTATTCCACAAGTTAAATCCTTAATTCTGTATAGAGAAGAAGTTTGTCCAATCGCTGAACCTACAATGAACGTAATTTGTTTTAACATCAGATACTTAACTTTTTTTTTGGTTTTTTATTTATACTATTTCTCTCCACTCCCCCCCACCCCCACCGCCACTATTACATCACTACTCATTATGACACATTTTAACTTGGCTCTCCTTCAATCTTAGTAGAGTTCTACTTAATCCTATCAATTACAATGCGTCGCCCAATTTACTTGTTTTGTTTTACTTTCTACCCGACTAACGCTTTCCGTATTTAAGTAATTGTTATCTTAAAAATTACACAATTCTAATGACTTCAATTTTTCAAGCAGCTGTTCACTCGTATTTATGCTATGGGTGGGACGTCGGAATTCAAGCCTCTTGGAGAGATTCAGTAGAAGTGATACTCGTTTTCAACAAGGTAGAGTTGTCGGCCTTACACCTCTCAACTCTTTCTCTCTATTCCAGGCCACCAACAGGAACATGATATAAAACAATAGTTAACACAATATTTACAGAAGTAGAGCTAAAGTAAATGAACGCGAGAATTATTATAAAAGACTATTGAATAATTAATGAATTGGTATTTAAGAGGTTTAAAGAGTAGGTCAAAAATTACAATAATGATAACAATAAACAAGGTGAAGGTAAACCAAAATGAATTTTACCAAAAAGAAAAAAGAACAATACTGTAACCAAGGTAACGAAAGAGGCGTTTAACAAAATGTTTTTTGAATACATACTTTAAGTTTTTTGTTCATAAGTGTACATAACTAGTGTTTTGGCTATATGTAGTTGACGAAACTGCCCTCATAGACGACCTTGTACGGGCGAAGGTGAACAGACACGTCGGCTTCCCTCTCGAATGTAGCCACACCTTCATAGCTTCCGCCAGGTAAGGGATGTACCTCACAAAAGTGAAAGGGACAGATGGACATGCTGATGTATCTACGGGAGCTGTAACACCCTGATTCAAAACCTATGGGTATACATGGGCTACAGAATCCGATCGGATAGAGTGGCGACTGATTACCATGGGAACCCAGCTCCTGACTCGTCTCCACTGTTTTGTGGATCAGTCTTTAAGTCATATAGGCTCGGAGTGCAGTATCCCCTTCCTGAGTTTGGATGTCCCTGCAAATCTCCCATCCCTCACCCACACAAACTATGCTTTTTTTGAGTGGCGCCTCTCTCAGTGTCCATAACATACTAAGTTTGTGTTTATTTTAATCATTTTTAACAATAAGTTGGTGAAAACGTATAATTTTAGAATAGCTAAATTTAATCCTTTGGATAGCTTTAAAGTATAAAATCACATGGGACACCACCGCTGAATGCTCTGCTTCCAGAAGCTGTTCACAAATAGACAACTTCATCATCCTATGTTCACCTTTTATCAACCAAATTAAGAAGTAATTCAGCAACGCAATACTACAACAAAGAACTTGCTAGCTAACAACATTGAGTGTAATCACCCTCCCACCCACCACGTGAGTAATAACCACTTGTGAACCTATAGTTTATTCATTTCAATTCTACCTACCCTTAGAATACCATGTAAAGTATTGTTTTTGATGTGGTTGTGTTCTCTGAGCTGGATAGTTAATTTGCGAAGCTTTCATCACCCTACTAGGTCACATCTTCAGCGCATACTTCAATTTGATTGTTGTTTCATTATTATTTTGTTATTTTTATTACGTGTATATTGACTTATGTGAAGAACCTAGAAGACCTGGATTTCGCGCGTGGATGATTTATGTTTGATGTCACTGTCACAAAATCGAAGACTTACAAGCGAAAACCGACAAACTGGTCGAAGAAGCAGACAGTGAAGACAGGACTCCAGGTAAACATAGACAAGATGGAGGTTATGAAAATAACCAACAAACCAACAACAACAGCAGCAACATCCAGCGCCAATCACCATCAACGAGAGGGATTTAAAAGAGGTTACTTCATTCATTCACTTATCTGGGGAACATTGTCTCAACTACAAGAAGTCGGAACGGACGAGGGTGTCAAATCGAGCGAGAATCGGGAAGGCGAGAAACACATTCATCAACCTGAAACCAATCTGGAAATCTTCGTCACTCAGCATTAACAACAAAATTCAGTCGGATCTTCAATACAAACGTCAAATCAGTTCTTCTATACGGATCAGAAACTTAGCGGGCGGGTCACAAAGAATATTTTCAACAGCCTGTTGCAGAACTTTATCAACAACAACTGTCTTCGCTTTATACTGAAGATCAATCAGATGGCCGGAAAGAATCACCAACAAGAAACTACGGGAAGAAACAAAACAAGAACCAATCGCCAGCCAACAAATATGCAGGAGAAAGTAGAGATGGATTGGATGCTCGCTCGCTGAGGAGGCTGCTGGGTGACATCGCGCGCGCGTCAGACCATTTCTCGAGTGGAACCCGAAAAGGAAGCGGCGAGTGGGACGTCAGTGCAAGGGTGACATGGAGGAGATAGTGTGAAGAGGAGTTGAAACAGTATGGACTAACATGGATGCAGGTGAAAAGTACAGCAGAAGACAGAAGTGGCAAGTGGAGACGTGCAGTTGAAGCCCTATGTTCCACTAGGAACCCAAGGGAACATTAATAATAAATAATATTGACTTAGCAATGTTTAATACCATTTAATACCTTTTTTAAGTAATATAAGTAGTACGACTGTACAAGTTCTGGTGAGCAGTCGTCACCAATGCAGTCCATCAGGTCAGGTAGGAGGACAAATACTCGCCAACAACATTGGTTTGCGGTGGTAGTGGCCTGAATTGACAAAAGTTACAACTCATAGTTAATTGGATTCCGTTTTAGTGCATAAATGGTCAAAAGAGTTCAACTCGAAACCTGAAGGTTCTGGGCTTGATTCCTAGAGATGCAGTCATAGAGTCATGCGTACTGATGAAGAATCCCAAGTGAGAGAGACAACAAATGTCCAGTAGTATTCCCTGGTGGTTTTCAGTAGTTCTCCTCTAACTAATATATCAGTTCGTGATACAACTTTAAATCGATCGAATCCCTATAAACTAGCGCGTGAAAGCGAAGTCGTTGAAAGGAAATACTACGGTTTTATATACTCGACTGATGTAGGGTATGAAAAATTGAACCAATAAGCAAGTATAAATTTAAGTATATTACTAATCCTCAGTTATTTTGTTTGATCTTTCTGGAGATTGCTACAAAGTGAAGATGTGAGTAAAATACATTTAAGAATGAGAAATACTGAAAACTAGTTCAATAAATGCATGTTTATCCATGCCTAATCGTTTCCGTGACAGTAAGCATTGTGTGTTTGTCCTCTTTTGACCCAACCTCAACTTCTTCAATTCTATATTGTTTAAATTTTAAAGAGGAACGTCTAAACTTTAAAAAGAAATAAGTTTTTAAGAGGTTAGATTTACCAGAATCTAGCTGATTTTGTGGTGATTCACATCGGTAGCTGAGAGTTGGCCACAAACAACCGCCGGAGGTTGTTTTCTTTTTGGTTGATGACTAGCAGTGGGATGCAGAATCCACTTTTTGTCCTATTTGGGACTTGTCATGGCTCAAGTGAATAATGCTTTGGTGTTTGAAACGAGATGGATGCAGGATTCGAGTCTCAGTGGGAACACCACAACTCATTATGGATTGCAGGTACACCCAGCCAACGAGTTTCGAATAGAGAGAAATGAGCATCCTGGATTCCATGGCTAGCCATATCATCAACAAAAAACAACATCACATTAATCTTCAGACATCGTCCAAACGTCCGTATACTGGGCACGGACACGTCGACAGAAACTGAGCTTATCGGTCTAATACAATCAATAGTTTATTTGTAGGGATTTGATTTGCTTCAAGTTTGATCACAGATTGATATCGGTTAGGAAATCATTGAAAACCACTGGGGTGCTGGACACCTATTTCGTCCTAGTTTGGGATTCATCAGTACTGACACCAATCCGTGATCAAACTTAAAACAAATCAAGTTTCTACAAACTAATTCTTGAAAATTAATCTAGTGCTCGCTAGTGACTGGTTTCTAGATGAAGGTGCCTGGAGTTCTAGCGAGAATTCGTGACCAGTGGGTTCAAGGGTGAGGAAAAATACTCGTCAATGAAGCTGGTTGGTGCCAGTCGCGTTTAAATCCTGAATTGATAGAAGTTAGAATTCATGGGTTGGCCATTGAGTCGGGTTCCAGTGGCAGAATGGTCTACGAGCTTACCTTGTAACCATCAGGTCCTCGGTTCGAAACTAAGTGGATGGGTACTGCCGATGATTCCCAAACTAGGCTGACAATACTGCTATCCAGTAGTCCCTGATGGTTTTCAATGATTCTCTAACCGATATAATCCATGATAAAACTTGAAACTAACAATCAACAAACGGGAAATGCAAATTCCCTTAAAATAACAGATCGGAAGTGTTATACAGTAGTTTCATTTTAGTGTCAAAATACAACAAAAACTCGCCGCTATCACCCCTCTTCACACCCCTGGAAAGATTAAACATGTAAATGATCAGTTATCAAAAGGAGAGATCTGATACTATTTAAATCCATAGGACACAAAAACAAAATTCAAACTTCTACAATGATAAAATCAACTTTGCAAGTCAAAACTAACCTCTTGTTTTTTTAAACCAGAAGAGCCATAACGTAAATTAATTCGAGGATAGGGAATACCAGTCGGTGTATCAAATGCAGGTAATAATCGATTTCCGATATCAATAGCCATTTTTAATAATTCATCTTTATACCAAATCATTCGAGAACTGTTATTTTCTTTAATAGCAAGTGCAGCAACATGAGCTCCTAATAAACCCCTTGAAAAAAAGAGCACATGTGTATATAATCATTAATAAAAAGATGGGAAAAGCAGGTAAAATGAAATTAACAAGATCACCTACATAGTAGTTAGAGACGTTTCACATTCAAGAGTAAACCCTACAGTTATTGAATTAGACTTTGAGTGTTAACGAAAAAGTCGTAGGTTTGAATCTCTTGTCTATTTTTCGGTGGCCCAGTTACTGGGTTAATTAGATGAATTGTGAAACAATACAAAAATGGTCAAATAAACAAATTGAGGTAATAAATAATACTTTTCCATTGATCACATTTTCGGTAACCATTAGTAGGTTACTCGGAACAGATTTTTCATGTACCACACTATGTGGCGGTGGCATAGCGGTTAGGACGCTCGCCGATCATGCACATGGTCCGGGGTTCAGCCCCCAGCCACTGGACACACTCCTTTACCTCGCTAAGCCAGAAATAATGCTGGTAAAGAGGAAAGGTTGGGCATGAGGCTAGCAACCCCATTCTGTAAAATAAACACTGCTATAGAAACTTCAAGCCACTAGCTTGAAGCCCTATGTTCCACTAGGGGACGTGAAGGGAAAAAAACGCTATGATCTGATGGTTGATGCGACTTCCCATTTCACTTATTTGACCATTAAAGGTAGGAAAGATATCAGAGGGCTAACTGCTGTCTTTGACCACAGATATTTACACTCTATCTCCCGTATTCAATGGTATAATAAGGTAACTCTGAGGTTTGATGTAAGGCGTTAACTAAGGATGAAAAGGCAATCGATGAGATTTTGAAGCTACACCAACTAAGACGGTTAGGACATATGTTACACATACTGAGCTGCTGCCTTCCTTAACAACCAATTTTAGCTGACGTGATATGACGTTGGAAAAGAATTAGGGGGTGGTAAAATAAAAACATGCCATCAATCCATGAATTTTTTAAACAGTTGAATTAAGCCAGCTATGTAAAGAGGTGTGGATTGCGTGGGTGAGGTCCTCGGAATTTGAAAAATCAATGGCTGGAGACTTTTACTGCTATGATTGAAAAGCATTCTTAATCGTTCACTTGCATTCACTATTTTAATGTTCTTTCCACTGTACATGTTTACCTATTATAGTACTTTTGATTTTTTTTTCCCACTCTTTTTTCTATCTTTGTGTGGTAACTTGATCTACTGAACTCTTGTGAGAGGTCAGTCAGTCAACTTGTGATAATGCTACTCAAGTGCCCCCACCCCCCAAGTGAAGTAGGTAGAGTGTAACTGGAACCTCTGATCCCATGACTAAAATGTTGAGTGTTGCTTAAGCCAATGAACTGCAATTTTCTACACTTGAATATAATCGACATTTTTGTCTTATAGTTTGATAAACGCATCTGGTGGTTAAGGCATGATACAAGTTGTTTTTTTACAAGAAAATTGACTGCCATCCAAAAGGAAATGCAGTAAAAACTATTTGGGTAAATAAGTATTTTTGACAATTTCTTTTTATCAGAACCTTACACCTGGATTATATGAAATAACAGTGTTATGCATATAGAATATGCTTCATTGATATAAGTATAAAACTTGGGCACTGTGGTAGAGTATAACTCCATTATGGATAAGATTTTATTTTGATAAATCAAACTAACCAATGTCAGCTCAGGATGAAATCCTGTAACCATTCAACCAAATCCCTACAAACACTTGAATATCAATTACATGCTCACTGGTAACTGGCGCTATTCAGGTAGGTAGTTACCTGGAGTTTTACTGGGATGTCGTAACAAATAGGGTGCAGCAGGTCGGGTGTGAGGACAAATACTCGCCGAAGACATTGGCTAGCGGTTGCGCTATATCGTGAATTAATAGAAAGTTACAGTTCATGGGCCATTGGATCGGATCCCAGTGGCTTAATGGTCTAGGAGCTCGCTAGCCTTGTAACCAGAAGGTCCTGGGTGTGGATGAGTACTGCTGAAGAGTCCCAAACTAGGACGAAACAGCTGCTCAGTACTCCCAGGTTTTCCAATGGTTCTCTAACCAACGTCATGATGAAATTCTGTAACCATTCAACCAAATCCCTACACCAAACACATGCAACAGAAATGACTCAATGCAAATACCAGAAATATGGAAGATATTATTACCACCAGTCAGTCAAATCAAAGGAGGATAATAAATAATCTTAAAATTCTATTTCAATTCATGTACATCATAACATTCTAACAAGTTACTTATTATGACTATAAAAACACTCGTCTTATTTCCCATATAATTGTAATGGATCAATAACACTCGTACTATTATTTCTGAATGTACATTATCTCACAATGATTTTTAATCCAATATCTAATCGATTCTACGCATCTATATAAATGAAAGAACAAAGTTGTGTGAGTAGTGTCTTGATATGATTATGAGTGGCAATAGTTTGTGCTCGAAACGTCATCAGTTAATATTACTGTATAACACTGCTGTGTGATTTAACAAAATAAAATCTTATCCATAATAGAATACGTTTCATTGGATTGAAACGCCATAGGGGAATATAACATAATCCTTTCCAATAAATTCTCTTCAGGTTCTTAAAGTAACAAAATATTATATTATTTATCATTACAATAATAGCTAGTTATGTGGTGCATATACTTAGACTTACATAGAATAACAGATTAGTTATAGGGCGACAAAATAAATAGTATTTGTGTGACAAACGGGTTCGGAAGAATGCACTTACAAAATATTGTGAAATGGAAGATGATAATGATGGTGACCAGTCATAATAGATCCACATAATGCTGGGAAAGAAATTTTTTGGATTACAGCTTGATGTCACACCGTATTTTAGGTACAAGTATGGAATTTTCAGCATGGATATCGGTAGCCCAAATTTTGCAGGCCGACCATAGATATGGGGTGTGCGTCGGCAGGGGATCGAACCTCGGACCATGTGCATGGTCGGCGAGAGTCCTAACCACTGTGCCACCGAGTTCAAGGTTGTATAAGGTGTCTAGTGAGTGGCAAGCACAAAATAGTATGCGTCAAACAGGCTACAGTGAGACTGTGGCAAATAGTTCATCACGAGATAATCAATATGTGAAATATTAGTCATCTTTAAGTGAAAGTGAAATTATGTATCTTGGTTTCTTCAAAGCTTAAGATTTGTAGTAATAAGGGTTTAAAATACCCCTCAAATTTAAGTGCCTTCAAGACAAGATTTATCCTTTGGACTTAAAAAGCCAGTGTATTTAATTTCATATATTGTTAGTCTGAAAACTGTTGAAATTTTCAAAGAATATGGAACCTCTAGAACCTCTGAGTCTTACCTAAGTAACCTTTACAGACATACAGAAATCAGTAACCCAACATAATGACACTTACTGATTAAAAAATTTAGACACCACCGTTCCTCTTTGCTTAAACTTCAGTCCGTTCTATAATTTTAGTCCACAATAATAAAGTAAAATAGTGAAGAGTCTGTAGCTCACTGTTCAAACCACTTTGAACCAATAGGACTCAAGATCAGACTGTACCATACCTATTTTCACTTGAGAAACTCGTTAATATCAAGAACTTTAACACATCGCAAGGCAAATGCTAGGTAACTAAAACTCATTACGGCGTAGTTTAAATGCATATTTTGCTGCTTTATATATCTTTAATAGTAGAAAAAAGGTGCAGAAATACTGGGAAATGATAAGCACACGGTAGTCTTCCTATTTTTGTTTGGAACTCCCTATTAGTGATCATTAACAACCATGTCATAAAATGAAGCCAAAAGGATTAGGTGTTAATGCAAACATGTTATCACTTATTAGAAACTATCCACAAGATGGATCTCCTGGAATCGAAAATGATTAACTCTGACCGCTAAGGTCAAACAAATCAGATTTCAGAACAGATACTCATCTAGGACGTCGAAAAGTAGTGATGCCTAGAGTTGACGAAAGCTAGAATTTATGAGCTCCTTCAGTGACTAACAGGTAAAGTTCTCACCTTGCAATATAACAGTTTTTGTTTCAGTCTCATAAAATATTAAGTGCGAACTACCACCGAAATAACGATTTAGTGCTGCTTCTCGGTTTCTAATGTTTCTTTTATTTGATGCTGGAACATTTATTTATTTATTCCAGACTGACATCATTCAAGTCGCCATACTTTCACAGCATTTTATCGAAGTTATATGGCGTATCACGGTGTACACTAACTGTATTTAGAACAGTATCATTATACAATGGTATGTGCAAATGAAGACCGACTAATGCAACCTAATACTTCTAAGGCTAAAATTAGCTGGTTATCTTAATATCGTGCTTTTCTAAGACGTCTTATGCAAACACTCAAGTCAATCGAGATTACGAATTTTGTTGCAGTGAACTAAAATAATGTACAGTGAGGCACTGCGATACTTTTATCTATGGCTTAGGTATGATAAGAGCGAAGTTAAAGCATCTTAGCATAAGTCAAGGTCTTCTAAAAGTTGACCTTCAAGAACCAATTAGACACAGGGAATGCTATGAAATATGACCTCATATTAAGTCATATTTGACGAGGACGGATACAGTATTCTGCTTATTTACTAGGTACTTTTTCTGCAAATGTATGCTGCTGGTTAAGGTTAGAGTTAAATTTAGATTCAGAAGTTAGGATTGTGATTAATTTAATTTTTTTTAATTTTTGATTACAGCTTTATTCCACACCGTGTTTTGGCACAAGTATGGAATTTTCAGTATGGATATCGGTAGCCCAAATTTTGCAGGCCGACCATAGATATTGGGTGTGCGTCGGCGGAGGATCGAACCCCGGACCATGTGCATAGTCGGTGAGAGTCCTAACCGCTGTGCCACCGACGCAGAGTTAGGAGTTGCATGAAGATTAGTGTCAGAAATATCAACGACATACAGTCACCCGCATGAGTAAGTATACCGCACACGGTACGATTTCTCTATAGATCATCTGTGTATTGACTAGGAGACATTGTTACAACATATAAACTACAACTTTACAGCATGATATCAAATTTGCAATATATTTTGAGTGTAACGATTATGCGACTTTTTTGCATCTGAGTTTTGATTGGCCGTTCGAGATCATTGCGGTTTTGGCTGTGATAGTTTAACTTTGCCCAGATAAGTAGTAAAAGTTTGTGCATTAATAGCTAAATTATACATTTAGTTCGATTTACTGCTGAAACAACGTTTATCAAAAACCAGTGATGCTACAAACCGAGAGTCTGGATTTTAGATTTGAAATGTGTTCGAAGAAACCTTTTAATGGTCAACTGCGCTTATTCCACAAACGGAAGAGGACTAAGGAAAAAGTAGTTTTTCTTTTAATACTTTTTAGTGCAACGTCGAACTTAAAAATAAACATTTAATCTAGTGCAAATTAGTCTAATTTCTAAAACAATTAATAAAACGCATATTAAAATCTACCTGGGAAAGCTGACTTATAATTGCAGATATAAACGTGCCAAATAAACCTAGTGATTACTACGATATTTAATTTAGAGGCAATGCTTTAAAATGCAAGATATTCCACCAAATGTCCTCAAGACTCAGTACACAAAGGTTTTTTCATGTTGCAATAAATTAGTAAAATAAACCGAAAAATCCAACAACTTACCCAAGAACACGAATATTTGTTTCAAAAACTGAAACATCAACATCTGAATCAAACTTCACAGTTTCTACTACAGCCTTTACAGCAGAATCAAACTCATCTAGTTCGCCGATTAACTGTAAAACGTCATTTAATGAAATTAAAACTTACGAATAGACTATCGAGACCATCAAGCATTGTTAGTGAAAAATTACCCAGTGCATCGTCTATATCACCTCTAGTTACACCTTCCCAACGGTAACGACCCTTGCAACTGAGTGGCATAAGTTCATCAGCAGGAAATGCATTATTCTAAAACTTAGATGATACATTATAATGCTGAAAATACCTTGTAATTATAATATGCATGAAGAAACATCTCCTTTACTCGAGCTCTAAAAAAAGGATATATAAAGTTCGACTAATAATGCAAATACTTTAGTGCAGTTTTGCTCACATTATGCAAGCCACAAATGAACTCCGTCCCGCACCAAAATAGTAAGAAAACTACAGCTGCAATCAACCCATATCTCGGCATCTGAATTGAGCACCCACACTAACCTTGGGGCCAAGGTTAACTTTTCTGTATTGTCCTCAAGCCTTACAGCAGTAGTGAAGTAAAACTCCTTTCAGTAATGCCATGTTAGTGATATAACTGCATTTCTCATTCTATCACTTTAAAGAAATGGACAAAGGGCAAAGTTCAACAATAGCGTCCCAAGGGATGCGAACGCACGAGTGACCTTCAGGCAGCCAATCATTAAAATGAGGAATTTTTGCACGAAAAATGACGTATATTCACAAGAAAATGCATGAAAACACATTAAACGGATTATATTTCTATGATATGACTTAAAAATACGTTCCAGTTGCAATGAAGAGTATCAGTTGCTACTTTGGACTAGTTTCTGTAGATGTATTCACCAAAGTGACTGAAGGTGTGCTGTTTTGGGAATGGTTCATCTCTCTTCTCTTGCTGTGTAGTCCTCTCCTAAGCCCTCGGTTTGGTTACTATGGTTCCAGTAAGAGCATTGGTGACTACATACAATGGAAATAAGGATAATAAAAGAACTTGAAATAAACGAAAAATCTATTCCTAATCGCTACCCTAACCCTAAACCCTAACCCTAACCGTAACCCTAACCGTAAGCGTTGTGCCACCGACGCACACAATGACCGTAACCCTAACCCTAACCACAATACTCGCCTTAACCCCTATCCTAACCCTAACGAGATGTTAACACATTGTCCAAACAGTAATAAAAGTGTTATCTGGGTGAAACTTGCTCCTTATTTGATGAATATGGTTGATATTTCAGCTATGATAATGACAGGAACCGTTAGCCAACGACTAGCATGCGTTCAAGGTCATTTGAGCGTTGAAGGTTTTGGGATGCTATTCTTAAACTTCGCCGGACGAAGACCGAGGCAATAGCTAATTTAACACTTGTGGTTCGATTTTTGAAATACAGTCCTTTCTCGGCTCCTGTGTCCAGAAATCCAGACTGTAAATTTGTTATTTGCTGACGCTTATGTGACATCCATAAAGGTCACTCACACTACTGGATTTGCTTATTTGTGGGTGCGTTTTTCGGCAATATGAATAACAGAAAGAGTAATGAGCGAGATAAGTATATCACGGATTGTTTAGATAAATGTGGATACTTTCCGGAATTATACTTGACCGCTTAATTATAATAACTTGTTTCCTTGCTCTAAGGTGTCTGATCTCTCTAAAAAATCTCAGTCAATATTCTGTAGCATTTGAGTTACAACAAGCAGATCGAACAGTTATCAGGGTTTGGAGAATCGAGTGGATGCCCAATAAGAGAATTCCGAAGGACAAGATTAGTCGCCAAGTGTAAACTATATCTATGTGATGCATACAGATTTATTTATTGATGAACAACAAGGGATAATGCGTGCCCTTCTGTTTGTCTGACTGGGTCTCCCTGCTTCGCTTGCCCTTCAGTACCTATTTGAAATAATCATTCATCCAGCCTCCCTTGTACGCATTATCTCTTGGTAATTTCATTGATTATTTTGATACTCTGTTCGGTCACTAAATATTTCTAAAAAGGAGTATTCTTTCGATTGTTCTGGTTTACGATTACTTAGAAACACTAAATGTCATTTGGAATAGTTCTGAAAAAAATTTCACCCTAACGTTGGTAAATACTAATCAACAGAAACGCAAGCTAATAATAGCTCCCTGCTTAAAAAGGGAGTAATGATTTCCGCGTTCTCGATAATTATTTGTTTCGACTGTCCCTACCAATCCAAATCTTGTTCTTGTCGTATGACTTGAGGTTATTAAGTTGAAGTTAACGCCTTACATATTGTATAGGTTTATTTGATTGCACACACAATATCTGTAAATAGACTACATTTCGAAACCAATTTATTGATGATAGCCAATGTATTCATATGACTTTACAGCTTGCTTTACATAGCCTTACTGGCCCCTCGTTTTTAATGCAAATTTCCACACACCAGGTATAAATGTTTTATCATTTTCATTGCATGCTTGGTGTTATCTGAGTGTCTTCATAACATATTTCCGAAATTGTTTTCAGTTGTCATGTTGGTTTAATGACAGAAAATATGCCTTACGTTCTTTTCAGGTGAGGTTGTTCATTACAAAGTTTTCTCGTCTAAATAATATCGGTGGCGTAACATAGGTCAAATGTCTCACATTTGTTGCACTTGTGGAGGAAAAAACCATTAGTTAGTGACACCTTTGCTATGGTATAGATTTAAGCAGGCTGTAAGTTCGAAAGCCAAACACATATTTTTCCATTCTCTTAACGTCATGCTACTATGCTTGGACTATTTAATGAAACTGCTGAAATTACTGGCGTGGTAATTCTTGTCACTTCCCTCATGATTTTAGTATTCATTTCTGCTTTTATGTATGCTGAACAGAATGGGTTTCATTTTAATACACAGAGCACTAGCACTCTGAGCATATAGTGTAGCCGCATGCTAAACGGACTATGTTTTGACAGGAGACTTAACTGCTATAAAATTCTCATTTCGCAAACATTACGTGTGCTCATACGCTGGAGGTTATTATCTTAAATGCAGTAAGTAAAAGTTGTTCAGAAGGTATGGAAAACTTTATGCCTCAGTCAATTAGTAGACATATAATTACACATTAAGTTGCACCTCAACTTCAGATGAAATAAAAGCTTACGAATGTACTGCTACCGTCTTCAACATAAGATAGTTAATAGCACTAGGAATTACTTCACAAGATTCTTTGCTTTAAGCACTGTCAGGACTGATCGAAATTTTCTCACTTCAGTGTAATGTGACCGAAGTTGTTGAGAAACTGTGTAGATCCCTATAATAATGCATTTAGCGTGAAGACTTTCTAGTGAACCCGTAATTTTTTAAAATCTCACATGATTCCTGTGTAGATGCGACGTTCATCAAGTGTTCACATAACGGTTGATGAACGCTGCTCCCTGATTAAAATTCTAACGTATAATTAGTATCCGACAGTTCGCCGTTGATTCATTTTGTACGAACACAATTTCCATTTTGCAGTTTGGTGGGGGGAAAATCATCTGGAAATTCTGAAAATATAACATGCCAGAGTCTAAATCTTCAAAATGCATTCTTCTCACTTATTACTAAAACTTAATTACGACTGGACTCCGACTATCCTCTTCTCTTCTGTTTAAAAACAGCGAAAGCTGAATATGATTATATGCTTCAGTTGGGGATTATTTATTCCTCGAGTTGTAAACGGACTTCGCCATTACACATGGTTCCTGGGAAAAATCAAACTAGTTGGCCTCCTCGTGATTACAGAGCCCTAAGCAAGCAAAGTGACCCAAGCAGGTACCCAGCACCAAACATTAAAGACTTTACTGAAAGTCTTCGAGGTGCTACAATATTAGCTTCAATTGACTTAGTTCTCGCCTTTCGCAACATTTCAGTGGCTGACGAAGATATGGTTAAAATAGCCAACAAAACCCCACTTGGATTGTATGAGTCTATGCGGATGCAATTCGGTCTCCAAAAAGCTGCATAAACTTCTCGAAGATTCGTGGATGACTTGCTTCGTGAATTGTCATTGGCCAAGGCGTACATAGACGGCATACTTATCGCTAGTCTGGATATGAACACACATGAAGAACTTATTCGGGGCGTGTTACGCAAACAAGAAGACAACGGCATGACAGTCGGTGAGAGTAAGTTAGTCTTTGGGGTAGAAACAATCGAATTCCCGAGACATGCCACTGACAGCACCGGGATCGCGCCAATGCTCAAAGAGGTGGACGCCTTCAAGGAGTATCCCCTACCCACACCCCTCACACGACTGCGAAGTTCTCTGGGCTTGATCAACTTCTATTGACGCTTTATACCTAATTGTGCACAATATTTGCAGTCCATAACTAATGCATTAGAGGGAAATCAGAAAACTTTCAGTTGTCAAAAGGGACACCTGAGGCAGTTGCACAGCTGAAAGAAGCGTTGGACAGAGCCAAAACCCTGAGATATCCCAGTGCAGATGCTCCTCTTGCATAAGCCGTAGGCACATCCGATAGAGCTGTGGAAGCGGCTCTAAACTAGCTGGTTTAAAATTGCTGGGAACCAACAGCACGTTTCTTTGGATGACTTGATCCTACAGAAATGAGATATGAGGTATGAGAAATGAGGTATTCTACTTTCGGTGGAAAGTTCCCAGCAATCTAACTAGTCGTTAAACTCTTTCGCTACATGTTACAGGCTAAACCATTCAAGATTTACACAGATCGCAAGCTTCTTACTTATGCACTCATCAGACAAATACTCACCACGTGAAGTTTGTCACTCCAATTTTATATCACTGTTTACCACTGACATAGAGAGCTGTGTGGCTAATGCATTGACCAGAATGGACGGAAATAGAGCGCAGCTAACCACTTTCCAAAAATAAAAAAATGACGAAGAGTTAAAGCCTATCCTCACTTCGAGGAACCCCTAGCCTCGAATTTAAACAACCACCATCTCCTGCAGATGGAAACTCTCTATTCTGCGACACATCGAAAAATTCATCCGGGTCGTTCGTCCCTAAAATTACGCGAAAAGCCAAATTTAGTCATTTTCATTCCTTATCATAACCTAGAGGGAAAGCCTCAGCTAAAGTTATCTCTGCAAGATATTTTTTGCCAAACCTACAACGCAATGCGCAGAGGTGGGCTACAGAGTGCTTGGCATGTCAGAGGGCTAAAATGGGTGGACACACAATAGCAACTATAGAGACACTCACAGCCGGACACCCGTTTCACTCATGTTCATGTGTATTTGGTTGACCCCCTGTCATACTCAAGAGGATTCACCTACTTATTTACATGCACTGATGAGCCAACTAGGTTCCCGCAGCTGCATGATTTACTGAGATTACGGCTGGAACGGTAACAAAAGCCTTCCTATCAACACTAGGTAACCATATTCTGTGTGCCCACACTAAAAACTGACAGAAGAGCTCAATTTTAGTCAGTTTTGAAACAAATTGTCGGAACTATATGGGTCACATAGAATACA